GGTTAAATTAGCGTTCCCCCCCCAAGAGGCCAAAATGAGGCCAAAACCATAGTAGAATCAATGATGTTGGCTTCCTCGCCGAGGCCGTTTTGGACGCCCTGACACCTCGCGCCCCCCCCCCCCCTCCAGGTCCAGGAGAGGGGGTAGGGGGAGGGGTCAAGTTAGCCAGCTCGAACGAGCGAGAGGGCTCCGTCCACTCCCACCCGCCCTCCCACAACATAAGAAGCAAGCGCGTCGCGTCCGACGCCCGTCGTTTATCTTATATCGTGGGCGGCTAGACGTTCCCCGCGCGCGATGTGCGCCGCGGCCCATCTGTGCAGGTCCCGGGCCAGCCTCACGGGCCAGAGGCGTGCTAAGATCTCCGGTAACTAGTTAACAATCTTCTAGTTTGCGCGCGCGGGGCGGCCCTTGGGGGCCCCCAGACGAAAAGAACCCCGAGCAGGTCCTGGGCACGCCGGTCCCAACGATGGTTTTCTTCTTCGGCGCTGACTTCCAGGTCCCAGAGCTCCCCAGGAACGCCCCAAGAGAGCCGAGACGCCCCCGAGACGATCCGAGGGGCCCTGAGTCGCCGAAAGATCGTACCAAGACGCCCAAGATGGCCTCCAGACGGCCGAAGACGCCGCCAAGAAACCGCGGGGAGCCTCTCGAGGCCCTCCAAGAGCCTGAACAAGCAAAAACCTCCCAGGCATTCGTCACCCCAGGGCCTCCTGGAACGCCCCGGCGCCCAATGAATTGGCGAGCTAGAAACGAGCGCCGAGCCAAAGCGGGAGCGCAACTTTAAGAAAATGTCGCTCGGCGCCCAAGCGGGAAGGTCATTTCATTCACTTCGAGCGGGGGGGGAGGGGGGTGTGCCGCGCCCAGTTCTTGCCATGCACTCTTGCGGGGTGGACGACAAGAACAGCTATGTGGGCAGGGAAAATCAGTATGGCATTGCTTCTGACAAGTAAGGTGGCCCCTCCCGCCTTGGGGTTGCCCCAGAAGTCCGCGCGCGCTGTGCGCCGCGACCCATTCCTGCCACGCATTTCGCACCGTCGAGGACAAGACAGGAGATGATGAAAGGAAAAACGGCAACTCGGTATTGTTTTTTTATAATCAAGATGGGAGGGCCCGCAGCCCGCATGGACGTCCGCACGCGATGTGCGCCGCGTCCCGTTCCTGCCGCATATTTCGCACCGTCGGCGACAAGGGAGGCCATCTGAGAGGAAAAACGGAAACTTTGTATTGATTTTTTACAGTCAGGATGGGCGGGCCCGGATTGACGGCCGCGCGCGCGATGTGCGCCGCGTCCCATATGTACGCCGCGACCCACTGCTGCCACATATTTCGCACCATCGGCGACAAGGCAGGCCATGCTGAGATGAAAAAACGAAGACTTTGTATTGATTTGTTACAGTCAGGATGGGCGGGCCCAGATTGATTGCCGCGCGCGATGTGCGCCGCGTCCCATTCCTGCCACGCTTTTCGCATCGTCGACGACAAGAAAGACGATGCTGAGAAGAAAAACGGCCACTCAGTATTTATATTCTACAGTCCGCATGGGAGGTCCCGGATTGGGTCGCTATCGGCCGGAATACAATGTAGGTGGGGGTATATTCGGATAAGGAACAAGGATAAACCCCTCCCCGATGGGAGGAGAAGGAGGGGTGGAAGAGGAAACTCTCTAAACCACCGACGCCCAGAGGGCTGGTGGGATTCAGCTTAGTCGTCCGCATCTGGCTCAGTGGCCCTTTATTGTTTCCTTTCCCTTTTCGTGGCTGCTGGCGCGCGGGCGCGCCAGGCTGCTGCACACAAAGCCTGGACCTGTCTGGCCGGAGGGAGAGGGAGGACGGGAGGGGGAGGAGGCTTCTGCCCTTCCCCTCCATCCTTCCCCCTCCTTTCCCCCCCCCCCTTCCCTCTCTGCGCGGAACTCCGAGCTTTCATGCTTATGTTTTCTTCCCCAACCATCTTGTGGTGTTGGGTTCTCGTTTTGAAGAGACAGCGCCCCGCGTCTCCCTCCTCCCGCTGCCCTCTCCTCCTCCCCCTCGTCCCTCCTGCCCCGCCTTGCCTCTGCCCTCTTCGTCGCCATCGTCGTCGTCATCATCAGCATCATCATCATCATCATCATCATCATCATCATCATCCATACCATCCTCATTACCACCATCATCATCAGCATCATCAGCATCATCATCACCAGCATCATTCTCACCAGCATCATCATCATCACCATTACCACTACCACCATCATCATCATCAGCAGCATCGCAATCGCCATCGCCATCGCCATCGCCATGATGATGATTCCGGCACACCCATTCCGGCACAGCCTTCACACGCTTCGAGGCCCCATAAGGAGCTCCGCCGAAGGTCATGTGTCCGCACCACTCATTTCGGCACACCCCTCACACGCTTCGTGGCCCCATAGGAAGTTCCGCCGGAGGTCACGCGTCCGCGCCATCCATTTTGGCGCCCTCCTCACACGCTTCGTGGCCCCATGAGGCGCTCCTCCGAGGGTCCCCGTGGCGCAGCCCGCATGCGTCCGCGCCACTCACTTCGACACATCCCTCACACGCTTCGTGCCCCCATAGGGAGCTCCACCGAAGGTTTCAGCGGCTCAGCCCGCATGCGTCCGCGCCACCCATTTTGGCAGACCCCTCACACGCTTTGTGGCTCCATGGAGAACTCCACCGAAGGTTTCAGCGGCCCATGTCGGCACACCCCTCACACGCTTCGCAGCCCCATATGAAGCTTCATCGAAGGTCCCCGTGGCGCAGCCCGCATGCGTCCGCGCAACCCATCTCGGCATGCCCCTCACACGCTTCGTGGCTCCGCAGGGAGCTCCACCGAATGTTTCAGCGGCGTATCCCGCATGCGTCCGCGCCACCCATTTCGGCACACTCTTCACACGTTTCGTGGCCCTCATGGGGAGCTCCACCCAAGGTCCCCGTGGCACAGTTCGCACGCGTCCCCGCCACCCACTTCGGCACACCACTCACACGCTTAGTGCTTAGTGGCCACATAGGGAACTCCATCGACGACCCCACCTGCGCACTTCGTATGCGTTTCCGCCACCTATGCCGGCACGCCCCTGACAAGTTTCGTGGCCCGATGGGGAGCTCCACCTACGACCCAGTGGCGCAGTTTGCATGCGTCCCCGCCGCTCGTTTCGGCACACTTCTCACACGTTTCGCGCCACATTTCGCCACGCCCATCACTCGTGTTGGGGGCCCCACTGGGAGCTCAACCGAAGGCCCCCGCGGCGGTGTTCCCATGCGCCCTCCACCCCGCCCTATTTCGGCACCCCCCTCACGTCGTCCCACAAGGAGCCCCACCGAAGTCGATGCTCACAGTTGCGGCACCCACGCCAGTTTCTCCTGAGGAGATCAGTGTACAGATGCTTCTTTCCCTCTCGCTCTCTCTCCTGGCCCTGCTGTGCAGCGCCCGCGGCACGAGTGACCCACCGGCGCCCACAGGCCTCCCTCCCTCCTTTCTTTCCCTTCTTTCCCCCTTCCTCCCTTCCCTCCCTCCCTTCTTTCCCCCTTCCTCCCTCCCCTCCCTCCCTCCCTCCTCCCTCCTCCCCTCCCCTCCCCTCCCTCCCTTCTTTCCCCCTTCCCCCCCCCCCCTTCGGGCCCTCGCTGCTTCGCGGCCCCTTTTCCTCGGCCGTGCCCCTCCGCTCGCGTGTCTGGCTCCCGGGGCCCGTCCCTCGCTTCCTGCCGGCCCCCCATGGGGCCCCGTCGTCCCGCGGTCGGCTGCGTGCACGAGCTCTTGCTCTGACGATGCAAAACCCGAGGATACATCAGCAAAAGCCCTTCTTCCCCCCCTCTGGGCGAAGAAGATGGCCCGTGTTCTCCTTTTTTTTATTGAATCGCTTCGCTCATTCCGCCGGCCCGTGATATGGCATCGCTGGTTTTTGTCTGTGTGTTCGTTGCCCATGTTGCGCTCTTGGGGGCGGGTGTCGTTCGGACGCGTTGCGTGGGGAGTTTTGATGGTGAAGCAGTTCCCTGGGGGTCGTCTCTCGATGGGGCGAAATAGAGTCGTCGTCAAGATGCTTCTTTGGGGGGCCTCTTGGGGTCTGTTGAGAGGCCGTTCGGGGGCGCCTGGGAGACATGTTTGAAGCCTTCTGGGGCTTCTTTTGGGCCTCCTGGGAGTCTCCTGGGGCCTCTTGGCGACATCTTGGGGCCTCTTGGAGGCCTCTTGGGGCCTCTTTGGGACCTCCTGGGCGCCTTCTGGGACGGAGGGCTCCATTTTTGAGTTCTCGGTATCCCTCCTGAGTCCCTCTTGGGCCCGTCTTGGGGCCTCTTGGTCCGTCTTGGGCGGCACTTGGGCCGTCTTGAGGGCTCTCTTGGGTCGTTTCGGCGCCGTCTTGGGAGCTTCGTGGGCCGTCTTGGAGCGGTCTTGGGGGCCTCTTGGGCCGTCTTGGAGCGTCCGGAAGCCGAAAAAGCCAGAACACAAAAAACATCGAAAAAACCAATGAAAATCAACGATTTTGGCCTCTTGGGGCTCTCTTCGGAGGCCTCTTGGAAGGCTCTTGGGGCGTCTTGGAGGCCTCTTGGGCTGTCTTGGGGGCCTTTTGGGCCGTCTTGGGGTCATCTTCGGCGTCTTCGAGCGCTCTTTGGGCGTCTCGGGGGCCTCTTGGGCAGTCTTGGGGGCCTCTTGGGGCACTCTGAGCGCGCTCTGGGGAGCCTGAGAGGCCGCACCCAGTCTCTGAGTAGACTTGGTCGGGCGGCACCGGGCGTTGGTCGGGGTACTTTTCGGTAGAAATACTGTTAATACTGTTAACCAGTTACCGGAGATCTTAGCACGCCCTGGCCCGTTGGGCCGGCGAATTTTTTAACGAGGATAAATCAGCAAAAACCCTTCTTCCCCCCTCTCTCAGAGCGTGAATTGCCTACCCCGCTTTCGCTTCCAGGCAGAACCGAGTCATGCCACGCGCCCCCTCGTCGAGCGGCCTGACCAGTACAGGTCGTAGTCTGGCATCGCTTGGTGTCTCTTGGAAGCGAGGGTGGTCAAAAGCGAGGTAGGTTTTCTTGCCCCCTACTCTCCCCCCCCCCCGGCCGGCGCGCGCGGGTCCCTCCCGCGGCGGGCGCACAGTCATCGGCAGCCGACAGGCACCTCCGCCGCCGCTCCCCAAGCCGGGCAGTTCCCCCCCAGGGGCGGCCAGTCTGACGCCCAGGGCGTGTTTGTTCCCTCCCCCTTGCCTTGTGTCGAAGAATTGAACATTTGTGCCTCGTTTGCCCTCCCTCCCTCTCCCTTTGTTTTCGATTGCCTCGTGCCTCTTGCCTCGTGCTCCCTCCCCCCCTCGTGCCGTGAAGCATCTCGAGGCCGGGCGGCACCCGCGAAAAGAGGGCGCTCTCCACGAAGCTCGGGCCGGGCGAAAGGGGGGGATTGGGAAAGGGGGGGTTACGAAATTTGCTGCATGCAGCTGGTTTCGGCCTCACCGAGGGGCCCATTCCTCGATACATGGCCGCCTCCGGCGCCGGGAGGCGCCGGGAAAATCAGCTACGTGAGCTGATTCTCAAACCCCCCCTTTGCTATCCCCCCCTTTCGCCCGACCCGAGAAAAGAGGGCACTCCACAAAGCGGAGACGGGCCCCGCGGCGAGGGCAGCCGCTCCTTGCACCTCGCGGGGCTCCCTGTGTAGCCCCGGCCAGCTGCGGAGACCGTCCGATCTGCGCGTCTGCCCCTCCCTCCCTTCGGGGGAGCGTAAGGCCCGGGTTTGCCAGGACTCTCGGGCCGGGCGAAAGGGGGGGATTGGGAAAGGGGGGGTTACGAAATTTGCTGCATGCAGCTGGTTTCGGCCCCACCGAGGGGCCCATTCCTCGATACATGGGCGCCTCCGGCGCCGGGAGGCGCCGGGAAAATCAGCTGCGTGAGCTGATTCTCAATCCCCCCCTTTGCTATCCCCCCCTTTCGCCTGGCCCGACTTTCGGGGGAGCGTAAGACCCGGGTTTGCCAGGACTCGGGTTCGCCATCGCTTTTTGACGACCGCGCCTCGGATTGTGACGAGGAGGAGTTTCGTGGGATGTCTGCAGCGGGAGGCCTCGTCAAAATGCAGGCTCGGCCCCGTCATTTTTTTGACGACCTCGTCGGGGGTTTCCGAGTTCCCTGTACCCAGGTCTTACGTCCCCTTGATCCTTGGGCCCCCCTCCTCAAGTCTGATGGCGCCAACATCGCAGAGCGGATTTCGCCCGGAACACGAGAGGGTGGGCCCGGAGGGTCCTGGAGAAAATTTCGTTCCGGATTTCGAGGTGGATTTCGTGCGGATGTTTGTTTGGCCAAGAATGAAAATTTCCAACAGAGGCCACGCGAAATTCACTTCGTTCTCCACTCGCCGTTTCGGGGTTTTGCATTGAAAAATCCACGCCAAAAATCCGCCGCAACACGTCTGCAAGGTCGGTGCATCACCACCCACCAAACCACCCCAACCCAACCGGAAGGCTTCAGTTTGCCCTGCGTTTCCAGTTGAGGGAGGGTCGGGGAGCATTGATGACCAGACACATCTGGAGCCCCCCCCCCCCCTATCCCGAAGTCGGGCTGGGTTGGGGTGGTCTGGTGGGCAGTCAGTGCAGTGACGAGTCCAGGCCAGCCACAACTGGGGGAGCTGTGGTCCTTACCCCCCTGGGGGACCCATCGATTTCCACACCCCTCTCGAGAGATCGTCGATGCGATGGGTTCCCCCAGGGGGGTGAGGACCACAGCTCCCCCAGTTGTGGCTGGTCGGGAGTCTTAGGTCTTGCAGGCCAGCCCCCCCCCCCCTGGGGGGCGGGGCCCCGCGGCGAGCGGGGGCCGCGTGCCGCCCGGGGCGGCGGCCTGCAGCACGGCGCCCCGCCGCGGCGCCTGCAGCACAGCGGGCTCGCCAGCTGGGAAAAGCGCCGTGCGGCGAGGCGCGCGAGAGAGAGAGAGACCCGGACCCCCTCGGGCAACGATCAGGAGGGAACAGAACACAGACACAATTCATCGTCGACTCCCAGGAAGATATGGGGAAATATGGGAAGTGGGGCGGAAGACAAAAGCCCAGAAGATGTGGGAGACTATGGAGAGTCCTGTTATGTGTGTCTATCTATTTTGTGTATCCCAGGGCCCCTTCAAACGAAGAATGTCATGACGGGAGGTTCTCCCACATCTTCCGCCTCTGGAGGCCCTTACCGGGCCTCGGGGCCGTCGAGAAGCTGCCTTGGGTGAAAGTGTGGTCCAGGGGAGTGGGTCGAGGCCTCTCAGAGTCGGCGTTATGAAGAACTCGTGACGTCGGGGGTCCGGGACGAGGGAGGGGCGACGACGTGGAGGATCGGCGGCGAGCGAGGGGGGGCAATGAGAAGGAGAAGGCCTTCTCAGAAGGCGGCGGGGCTTCTCAGAAGCCCTCGCGCCTTCTGGGAAGCTTCCCGTGCCTTCGGGGCAGGCTTCGAAAAGTTGCCAGAAGGCCGGAGGACGTCCGAGCCTTCTGAGAAGGCTCGCCCTTTGTCACTTCCCCCCCCGGGGCTCGCCGCTGAGAGGACGAGGATGCTGAGGGGAAGGTTTGGGAACGCCCGGAAGGTGTGGCTGGTGTCGCGGGGCAGCTCCAGGGCCTCCGACAGACCAGCTGTCTATTCGCGTCTCTGCCGCTCGAATTCCCCACGCACGACACGAGGCTGCTGTGGGCTGCGTGCGGCAGTCAACGTGGGCTTTTGCTTTTGCTGTTTTTGTGTGCTGGGAGAGTAAGACGTCCCTCTAGCATTCGTTTTCGTTCGGGGTGCGCTTCTGGTATAGCCCTCTTGAAGGGCAGCGAATTCCTCCTTCTCCTCTGCCTTCTTGCCGTGGAAAAAACACAAAAAAACGGCACGAGGCTGCTGCGCACCGACTGTTTCACGTGGCGCTCCCCTGGGAAGAGCTCCGGGCGCTTGCGATCCCCCACGCCTGCCACTCTGCGCATGACTGGCCACGGGTGACAACAGCGGTGCTCATGCCCTCCTACTTGGACGCCCGAGTTATCCGGGGTAACTCGGGTCCGGGGTAATTCGGGTTTGGGTTCCCGAAAAACGAACCCGAGTTAGCCCTGACCCGAGTTACCCCTGATGATCCGGGGCTCCGGACGCCCGAGTTATCCGGGGTAACTCGGGCCCGGGGCAACTCGGGTTCGGATTCCCGAAGAACGATCCCGAGTTAGCCCTGACCCGAGCTACCCCTGATGATTCGGGGCTCTGACCTACCCTCTCCTTCGGGGGCAACGATAGGGGGAGGACAGGCATAGGGGGGATGCATCGTCCGATAGCCCCAACCTGCATACACCTTAGGCGATGCTTAAGAAAACTTCAATTTTCGGCCAGAGTCTCGATTCTTCTTAACGTTTCAATGTAAATCCTAAGATCTGAATAGAAATCCTGGGTTTTTATTCAAGTTCTGAGACTATGAATTTCTTAACCCATGATTTCTTAAGCATTTCGCAGGGTGTAGGAAGGTGTGGATTCACTATCGGGGGTCCCCCCCCATCGTGGCCCCTCGCTCCTGACCAGGTGCGGACCACAACAACAATTGCCTGCCCACCCGTGCTCTCCTCCGAAGATAGGGGGCGGCCACGAGTCAAGGGAGGAGAAACCACCTGGACCGGACAATTGGTTTTTTTTTGTCAAGGGCTTGGGCGTTTCTTATAAAAGCCCTGCCCTGTTCGAATCCTTCGTTGGGTGCGTTTTTACCTAACAGCGTAGACTGATAGGTTTCTAGTAGGATCAAAAGAGGGCAGCAGCTTACTCCACAGGGGGGTCTGGGCGGATGTCGGCGAGCTGCCGGGCGGACGCCGGGCGGACGAACCGGGCTCGTTTTTCGCCAACAGTCACACACTTCGTGCTCTTCGACCTCCAGAACTCCATTCCCGGGCCACATTTTGAATAACCGGACGCAACAGTCACACACTTCGTGCTCTTCGAGTTCCCAGAACACAATTCCCGGGCCACACTTTGAATGCCCGGAGCCAACTGTAGGCCACTTCGTGCTCTTCGACTTCCCAGAACGCCATTCCCGGGCCACATTCTGAATGCCCAGAGCCAACTGTAGGCCACTTCGCGCTCTTCGATTTCCCAGAACACCATTCCCGGGCCACATTCTGAATGCCCGGAGCCAACTGTAGGCCACTTCGTGTTCTTCGACTGCCCCGAACGCCATCGCCGAATGCCATTCCTGCCACTCCTGGCGCACATTTTGGATGCCCGGAGCCAATTGCACGCCACTTCCTGCTTTTCCACCTCCCAGAATTCCACTCCCGGGACGCATTGTGGAGAACACGCCATTGTAGTCGTAGTAGTACTCGTACGCCTCTCCTCCTCCTTCTACTCGCTCCTCCTTTTTCTTCTCTCATCGACGTCAGAACCCTTGCCTCCTATGACGTCCTCCGCTGGCCTGGGTGGTCTACTCAGGTCGCGGAGGGGGATAGGAGGGGGGTCGTTGCCATGGCTGGTTCCCTCGAATTGACGACGGGGAGGGGGGGGTGCACCGTTCCCTCGGATGGTCACATCCCCCCCTCCAAGGGTCTCCGAGCCCTCCCTCTCCGTCCTTTCCCTTCTCCCTTCTACTCGTAGAGTAGAGTAGAGTAGTAGTAGTAGTAGTAGTAGTAGTAGTAGTAGTAGTAGTAGTAGCAGTAGTAGTAGTAGTAGTAGTAGTAGTAGTAGTAGTAGTAGTAGTAGTAGTAGTAGTAGTAGTAGTAGTAGTAGTAGTAGTAGTAGTAGTAGTAGTAGTAGTAGTAGTAGTAGTAGTAGTAGTAGTAGTAGTAGTAGTAGTCGTAGTAGTAGTCGTAGTCGTAGTCGTAGTCGTAGTCGTAGTCGTAGTCGTAGTCGTAGTAGTAGTAGTAGTAGTAGTAGTAGTAGTAGTAGTAGTAGTAGTAGTAGTCGTAGTAGTAGTAGTAGTCGTAGTAGTAGTAGTAGTAGTAGTAGTAGTAGTAGTAGTAGTAGTAGTAGTAGTAGTAGTAGTAGTAGTAGTAGTAGTAGTAGTAGTAGTAGTAGTAGTAGTAGTAGTAGTAGTAGTAGTAGTAGTAGTAGTAGTAGTAGTAGTAGTAGTAGTAGTAGTAGTCACGCCTCCTCTTCCTTTTTCTTCTCTCATCGACGTCAGAACCCTTGCCTCCTATGACGTCCTCCGCTGGCCTGGGTGGTCTACTCAGGTCGCGGAGGGGGATAGGAGGGGGGTCGTTGCCATGGCTGGTTCCCTCGAATTGACGACGGGGAGGGGGGGGTGCACCGTTCCCTCGGATGGGCACATCCCCCCTCCAAGGGTCTCCGAGCCCTTCCTCTCCGTCCTTTCCCTTCTCCCTTCTACTCGTAGAGTAGTAGTAGTAGTAGTAGTAGTAGTAGTAGTAGTAGTAGTAGTAGTAGCAGCAGCAGCAGCAGCAGTAGTAGTAGTAGTAGTAGTAGTAGTAGTAGTAGTAGTAGTAGTAGTTCCCAGAACTCCGTGCCCGGGCCACACTTTCAATGCCCGGAGCCAACTGTAGGCTACATCGTCTTCTTCGAGTGCCCGGAACAAGAAAACCTGTACCATACTTTGATGGCCCGGAGACCCATACACTTCTTCCAAGAGGAGGAGGAGGAAGCAGCACATCCACAAACGATGCCCACCATCATCACCATCATCGTCATCACTCTCTTCGTAGCCTTCTTGGCTAGAGCCCTGCTTTCAAAGGAACTGCTCAGCGCCTACTGCGCGCCATAATGCCACGGCATGCTGGTAGTGCTCGGTCTGGCCGCGGTGTTCCCGACCCTGCTGAACTGAACAGCGGTGCTCCTCAGCCTGCGGCATTGAACAGTGCTGCTCCTCAGCGTGCTGCGTTGAGCGGTCCTCTGCTAACGCTCGTCCAGCACGTGAAGCAGTTCGGCCGGATACCGAAGCAAAATACAGGAACGTCCGAAGAAGCACCAGCCGAAAACAAGTTGGCCAGACGTTTCTCCAACTTTGCCCGCGTGTGCGCCACAATCGCCCAGGACGGTGATGCTGATCTGTCGTTTGCTTGCGAAGTCGGCGCGTCTCGGCAAGGCCTCAGCAAAGCGATGGCTGACGCGGCAGACATCCTGACGAAACCGTTTGGCGACAATGTCTGTTTCTCCGAGGTTGACAACTACCTATGCCTGTGGGGATTCGGCGGTGCTTCTCAGCCTGTCGATGTTTCCCTGCAGGGATACAAGCATATCCATCACATCCCAATCGGGAGACACGTGGACGCGGCGATCACACGGTTCGATGTGCAAATAGAAGGCCATGGTAGAATTCATTTGATTACTGCCAACTTGCACATCGCTTGCGGAGCGAAGCCGCCGTCGGTGCTGACCAAACAACGTGCGGTCAGGCTCCTCCGACTCTACCTGGACAGCCCTCCAGGTCCGCAAGTGGACGCACCAGTCGTCCGCGTCATTGTCGGCGACAACAACCTGACGTCCACGCAGACCCGCGTTGCTCTGCAGCGCCACACCGATGACGAGCAGTTGCGGGATGTGTTTCCGCATCCAAGTGATCGCCAAGGTGACAACGTGGCGGTCTCTGGGGCCACTGCGCAGTTCAAGCCCATCGCTGTTGGCGCATCGTACCAGGACCGCGGCATGCGCAACGATTCCCACGATGCTGTTGCAATCGCCATTACTCTCCCTGGTGCTTCTCAGCCTAAGGAGACAAAGAAGCGGAAGATTGCCTTAGGAGATTTCGTCGTCTCCGATATTGCTTCAGACAAAGCCGAAACTGAAGTCGACTGGGAAACCTTGCCAAGCCGTTCTCCTTCGCCAGAATGGCAACCCATGCCAAGCCGCTCGCCTTCGCCGCAGCGCAGCGAGCTCGACGATGAAGTTCATCAGCGCGCGCAGGAAGTGCATCGTGAGATGAGGGGGTACTGGGAGCAGATGTACGAGGAGAGCTACGATCCCAAACTTCTCCATCAGCTCAG